CTTTGACTGAAATCGATGGGGACTGTAAGCTGCTGGCATGCGTCCTAGTTTACAGTACTGACAGGGGTACCTGCATGCCGTTTATCCGTCTAACGCGTTTCTCGATCTACGAATCCCACACCCTACGTGATGCCTCTTCCAGGCTAGGTACTTAAACATAACTCGAACTGGTCATTGTAGGTACGTTGTCTATGCTTTACGCTTGTATGTTACGACTCCTGAGGTAGTGCGTACCGACTGTAGCGTTCTGATTCCGGCAAGCCAGTAGTTGGATAATGATTCAGATAGCCATTAACATATCATGCTCTACCTCCTCAAGTATATCAGCATGTACCCTCCAGTGATGTTTTATTTCCGTCAGTCTTCGCTGTGCAAGAGATCATCTCTGCGTCCAGAGTATAGATATGTTCCGTCTCTCGCATACCGTGGGCTCGTATGCTCTACTTTTCTCTCTCCGGCTACTCTTGAGTTGTGCTCCGCTATATCCTGATGGCTATCCGGCTCATCGAACCGTTTCTCTTTGTGACGTCACAGATTTTGCGAAGGCTGCCAGAATTCGATTTTGACGCAGTCTCAGTGTCATTTTTGTCAGCGCGCTAGGGACTCTGACCGCCTTTTCTCGACGCTCCGAGGGACCGCCGGGCAGCGGAGAGCAGGTCAGGAGCTGGGCCGGGCGGGCCGCCGGGGTCGCTGTCCCCTGTCGGGCCGAGGGCACCCGCCCCGATGGGACGCGCCGCGCGGCCGGGCCTCAGCCCTTCCTCGCGGCGGCGCTGCGCTGGGCCGGCCGGAGCCCTCGAAGGGCGGCGGGCGCTGCGGGTCCTCGTCGTTCGGTCCTCGGGCTCGGCCCGGGCGCTCGGCGGGGGTCCCGGAGAGCTCGGGAGGCGCTGAGAGGGCTGCGGGCGTGGGCCGTTGAAATGGTGTCAGACGCCGTGCAGTGCACCGCCCTGCCACTCCGGCAATGGGGCGGAATTCGAAAGCTTGAAAAGAATTCAGCGCTAGCCCGGCCCCTCGGTTTCACACATGCTGGAGCCACGCATCCAGTCGGTAAGGGAGTGCGGGATCCTGTCTGGGAGACGGGGAGGCAAGGTTTCCCAGGAGCGACCCGGCTGGAGACGCAGCCGTGGCCGTGGCGGGGCTGTGTAGTTCCTCGGACACCTGTGTTCTGCTGCGCCCGCGGCCTGATGCCCCCCAGGCGTCGGTGTCCCGAGGATGCTGGTACTGTCAGTTGAACACAGCAGCGTTGGAGTCACCAAGCTGGCCAGGCTCTGGTGCAGATTAGGAGCCGGGAGGAAGGCTCGGCGACAGAGGTCAGTTTTAAATGCAGAGGCAAGACCCTAACAGCCTGAAATGCAGCCTCTCCTTAGCCGTTGCCGGCTGCCTCATTGAAAGCCCAGGAATGAAAGTAGATGTTTTCGGCGCTCACATTCTTCTGCAATACTGGTATCCTCCCTTTAGGTCTGTTTCGCAGTAACGTGGACATCTTGTGTCCACACACTTTCTTGTCATAATTAGTGCTGTTTTGGATTGCGGCAGGCTAGTAGCGAGACTAATATTTAGGGTTCCAGCATAGTTTAACTCTGCCTGTTTACGTAGCTGAGTTACAGGGAGTGAGCAGGGTTGGTTAGTCCCTACTGATGTGTTGCAAGACTGAAGTCCTGGGGAGCACATAAGGGTGATTCGTCAGAGTGGGTGTTGTGTTTATTGCTTTCAAGGCATGAACTGATTCGAGGTGATGAGCAAGTTTATTCCTCTGCATGCATTTTCTCCAATATATGGAGTGAAAGGATCTTTAAGGGCTGTGTCTGAAGTTCTGAATTTATATGTTAACATGAAACACATGTCACTCATTGCAACAACAAAAAAAGGTTTAAGAAAAAAAGGTTAGGGGCGGGTGCTGTGGCTTAGCTGGTTAAGCTACCACCTGGGACGCAGGCATTCCACATGGGCGCCAGCTGGAGACTCAGCTGCTCCACTTCCAATCCAGCTCCCTGCTAATGGCCTGGGAAAGCAGAGGAAGATGGTTCAAGTGCTTGGACCCCTGCTTCCACGTGGGATACCCGGATGAAGCTCTTGTCTTCGGTGTGGCCCAGCCCTGGCCATTGAGGCCATCTGGGGAGTAAACCAGGGGATGGAAGACTACTCTGTCTCTCCTCTCTCTATAACTTTGGCTTTCAAATAAATAAATACATCTTTAAAAAGGAAAAAAGGATAAAAACATTATGCATGTTTTTTATCCATGATGAGTCTTCGGATTCATTATTAGTCTCAGCTCACCCAGTCTTTCTGTCAGTGTTGGGCTAAAATAAGTGAGAAATGATTTTTCAAATTACAGGTACCTCAGTGTTAAGGTCAGGTCAGCTCGGAGACTGGAAGGGAATGCTTTGTGTGTGGTGGGGACTAGCTGGAGTCTAGCCTGGAATGGAGCCGGTGCAGCGCCATGGTAGCTTTTGCAATAAGCCGAGAACGTTCCGACTCAGAAAACGCGATAAGGTTACTTTTATGCAACATTCAGGCTGTGTGCATTGTGGGCTGGGACGGATTCATCTTTGTAGACTCTGTCCAGATGTGTGCAAGGCACTTGTCTCGCAGCCCAGAGCAGAGTTTTCACTCCTCTTGCTTCTGTCCATTGCTTTTCTCTGGCTCCTTTCTTCTCTGTGCGCCCTCTTAGCTGCAGGGACCCTCTTCACATTCCTCATTGCCATTCAGAGCCACCCGCAGGACTGATTGAACTCGCACTGCTTTTTCTTTCTTTCTTTTTCTTTTTTTAAGATTCATTTATTTGAAAGGGAGAATTACAAACACACACACACACACACACACACACACTCAGAGATAGGAAGAAACAGAGGGAGATCTTCCATCTTCGGGTTCACTCCCTAAATGGCCACAACAGCCAGGGCTGGGCCAGGCTGAAACCAAGAGCCAGGAGTTTCATCAGGGTCTCCCACATGGGTGGCAGGGCCCGAGCATTAGGCCATTCTCCGCTGCTTTCCCACTCACGTTAGCAGGGAGCTGAATCGGAAGTAGAGCAATGAGGACTTGAACCGGTACCCTTATGGGATGCTAGCACTACAGGTAGCAGCTTAACCCATTATGTCACAAACCGGCCGGCCTCCCCCAAGCTTTTTTTTTTTTTTTTTTTTAAGATTTACTTTATTTGAAAGAGATACAGGGGGGCCGGCACTGTGGTGTAGTGGGTAAAACCACCATCTGCAGTGCTGGCATCCCATATAGGCAATGGTTCGAGTCCTGGCTGCTCCACTTCTAATCTAGCTCTCTGCTTTGGCCTGGGAAAGCAGTAGAAGATGGCCCAAGTCCTTGGGCCCCTGCACCTGCGTGGGAAGAAGCTCCTGGCTCCTGGCTTTGAATTGGCCCAGCTCCGGCCGTTGTGGCCAACTGTGGAGTGAACCAATGGATAGAAGACCTCTCTCTTTCTTTCTCTCTCTGCCTTTCCTTCTTTCTCTGTGTAACTCTTTCAAATAAATAAATAAATCTTAAAAAAAAAAAGGGGGGGTGGTGGAGAGACATGGAAGAGAGAGAGAGAGAGAGTTGTCTTCCATCCACTTGTTCACTCCCCAAATGGCAGTAATGGCCAGGGCTGGGTCAAGCCAAAGCCAGGAGGCTGGAACTCCATCCAGGTCTCCCACATGGGTGCTGGGGTCCAAGTGCTTGGGCCATTCTCTGCTGCCTCCAGGTGCATTAGCAGGGAGCAGGATCTGAAGCAGAGCAGCCAGGACATGAACTGATGCTCATGTGGGATGCCAGCGTCACAAGCTGTTGCCGAACCTGCTCTGCCACAACATTGGCCCTGTTTTTTCTTTTAGAGGATGGGAAAAATCGTCATCATTCTTTTTTGTTTGTTTGTAGATTTTATTTTATTTATTTGAGAGTTAGAGTTACAGATGGAGAGAGGGAGAGACAGAGAGAGATCTTCCATCTGCTGGTTCACTCCCCAAATGGCCACAACAGCTGGAGCTGAGCCGATCCGAAGCCAAGACTGAGGAGCCTCTTCCAGGTCTCTCACATGCCTGCAGGGCTCCAAACGCTTGGGCCGTCTTCCACTGCTCTCCCAGGCCGTAAGCAGAGAGCGGGATCGAAGAGGAGCAGCTGAGACACACACCGGCACCCATATGGGATGCCGATGTTGCAGGCGGAGGCATAGCCTGCTATGCCACAGCACCGGCCCCAAAATCATCATCATTCTCAAGTCACTAAAAGCTCCTAAAAACTCCGGGTAGGTGTTCTCTAAGGGCAGGTTATGCTGAGCCTTCCGGAGGCTCTGGTCCTGGGAAGGGGGTCAGTGGTCCAGGGTTAGATTTGTATCTTCTCCATGCTTAAAGACCACAGGTGAGGGGCCGGCGCTGTGGCATAGCGGGTAAAGCCGCCGCCTGCAGTGCCGACATCCCATATGGGCGCCGGTTTGAGTCCTAGCTGCACCACGTCCGATCCAGCTCTCTGCTATGGCCTGGGAAAGCAGAGGAAGATGGCCCAAGGCCTTGGGCCCCTGCACCCACGTGGGAGACCCAGAAGAAGCTCCTGGCTCCTGGCTTCGGATTGGCCCAGCTCCGACCATTGCAGCCATCTGGGGAGTGAACCAGCAGATGGAATAATTTTTCTCTTTCTCTCTGTCAATGCCTTTGCCTATGCCTATGCCTCTCTGTAACTCTACATTTCAAATAATAAATAAATAAATCTTAAAAAAAAAAAAAAAGACTAGCTGTCCCTGTGGTGAACTTGCTGTTCTGTGCCACCATCTGGCTGGGGTACCTAGTCTTAAAAAAACAAAAACAAAAAACAAAAAAAACTACAGGTGAGGAAGCCTCCAGAGCCAGGAACACGTTCATCTGTGCCTCAGAAGGAAACCCTTTCTGCACAGTACATATCAAGGCTCCAAATGCATTGTAACTCCCTACCCTCTGAGTCATTTTTATCTTTGTTAGCCTAATGGAAGTGAAAAGTGATTTTCCAAACTACAGATACTCCAATGTTAAATTTATTTGGGGAGGGGGGTGTTTTTAAATGATGGAAACAATTGAAATAGAATGCATTTGGAAGCTGGCATATCTATTGCCAGGTAACAGACTTGGCATATTCTCTAGATTTTTTTATTCTATGGTTTGAAGTCAGCTAGTATGTACCTACTGCATGGCACTAATACAAGATTATCTGCTGTGAAATTCTCAGGTGTGCTTGTTCTTCTGCCAGGGCACAGGTGGGGATCATCCAGGCTGCAGGCCAAAAAAGGCCCTGCCAAGGCAGCCACGGGTGGGACTTGAAATTCAGTAGACCTATAGCAGGAGGATTTTTAAGTGGGTAATTTTGTTTGGCCTGTGAATGATGTTATAAGTATCCAAATGGTCTGGCAGAAAAAAGGTTCCCCACCCCTGTGCTGAAACATCCTTAAAATTTATTCAGAATACTTCTCAAACCTGTCACAACATCAGCTCATTTCATATGAAACACTTTTGTATTGCACCCAGCTTAGGAAGTCATCTGAATAAAGATTCTCAAGAATGGGTAGCTTAGTTCTGCTGGTTAGGATTTAATTATGCAATTCTTGTGCCTGGAAAGGAAGCATGGTCTAAAGCAGCAGTCATAAAATCAGATCACAGAACAGCTCTTTAATGAAAAAGCCACTAAACAAACCGAGGTGTTAACTTTTGGTGAGCTGCTTTGTCCTCGAAGCTACAAAGGGCAGCCATGGGTGGGAAGATGGACACAGAGTTGCTAGAGTGTCTTAGAGCTGTGCATCGGGTAAGGACAGAGATGCAGTCTGAGAAATACGTGTTGAGGTAACTTCATCCTTGAATGGACGTGACAGAGGACTTCACTAGGTGCCGTAATGTTACAGGACCACCACTGTATCGTGCGCGGTCTGTCATTAACCAAAATGTCATTATGTGGCATGTGACTATATTGTCTTAGGATTTATAAGTCTTTTTTTTTTAATTATTTATTAGAAAGGTAAGGCAGAGAGAGAGAGATAGATCTCTCTCCCATCTACCAGATCATTTCCCAAATGTCTGCGTCTACCAGGACTTGGC